CGAATGGACCAAACGTCACTTCCGGAAAGTTACGTGAAAAGTTACAAGAGTTTGTAAGTCCGAGACTTACAAGAGTTTTGAGAATACCGTGTAAGTCAAAGTTACAAATTCACGTAAATAGTTACAAATTGTTGTAAGTTACAAAGTTTTGAGAATACGGCCCCTGATCTGATCTGAATACAGCGCCATCTATCATACAATCAGGCTGACGAGGAACCTGGGAGATGGCTGGGGTATTTGACGTGGAAGATGAAAGTATTATTTCCACAATATTCAAGGATTCATTTCCAGGTTAGATCTTATCATGACTTATATACTTTGCTTTTAGTGTAATTGCAAATTGGTCTTTATCAGCAGAGTCGTAACTGTTGTATCCTGCCATTACGACTTTGGTACTGTGCGTTGGCAGGTCTTGACTTTGAGTTAAGTCATAACTTTGACGTTTATTGAGTCCAACGCTCGGCTGTAAACAGCTGATGACTCTAAAAACCGTACGAACCCTTTTCAATAGCACATTAGGCAGATTGCAGCTGATACCTTTGCAGCTGACTCCAGATACTATATCCTGCACTAAGCCTAACATGCAAGTCAACATTACATTAATCAGTGTTGTGTGTATATGATTTTCTGTCTGCTGTTTTAGACAACTGGCGGGACAACCCAGACTTTGCACAGTACCTGGCAGAGCTCAGTTCTTTTGGAGTGGATAAATTAGGTAACTCCAAGTCCCAGGGGATAGATCTTGTTTAGAATAAACAACATTCTAAGTCCACCTGAATATTATTTTACATCCCATTTGGAATTAAGAAGTTGATTAATATCTAAGTTATAACAAGATTTATTGTGCAATTGAACGGAATTATAGTTATAATTATTAAGTGCTGTATTGGTAAAATTTTAAATTCCTTTCAGGTCGTGAACCAGACAGACTAGCTGAGGACAGAGCTCAGATCTTGGAGCAAACCCAGAACCTCGCTTTCCACAATTATAAAACTTTTATCCAAACTGCAGAATGCTCTAGAGACATATATCAGGATGTAGGTAGAACAGCATATAGGACTTTGCTATTATTGTTGTTAATTTTTTATTTTCAAGGAATGGTAATGTTGTGTCAGTGTGTGTTTGTGTATGTGCATACATGTATACGAGGGTGCATGACTGTTTTATAAGGGATGGGAGTAAAAAGGGTGGCATATCAAAATTAATATTAATATGTATAAGAATGAGGTGATTTTTCTTCAGTCAACAGCCTGATATTGCAATAGTTTTACCTCCAATATTTCTATGACCCTGTTCCCAGAGATTAGATCGATCCAAACTAGATCGACCAAACTCCTTGGGGGTTCACGCTAAATAGCTGTCAGCTGAGCGGGCACGAAAGTTAATTACCGGACATTTAAGCCGGATTTAATTATCTGACAGTAATCTAGTGAGACCCCCCACAGGGATAGATTGATCTAAATGTCTGGGAATACACCCTATGTCTAACAGAGCATCTTCATCAGGGAATGAGGCTATCCAGATGAATTCATTACTGACATATTAAACTCAAGTTCTATGTTTGTATAAGTATGTAAATACGCATTTTAGATTCATTATAAAATGGTGACATTTAAGTTCACGAAATCCTGTCTGTATGACTGGTCCATTGGTGTGGAATTTGAATTGTGAAAATTTTTACTTCACAAAAGTTGAAAATATTTTCTGAGTATCATTTGTTTCGTAAAAAAGCCACATGTTATGTTACAGGCTAAATTTTTATTAATTTAGAATCTATATTTTGTTGAATTCTTCAGTTTCAGATCATAGAGAAGCATGTTGGTGGAATGTTGGAGAAATTACCAACACTGTCCACTCAGTGCCATCAGTTCTTGACCAAGGCTCAGGAAATCAGCTCTAGGTGGGTGGAAAGTAATTTTTCTTTCTCAAGATTTCAAATTTTCAACTGTTGAACTTGCATATTTATCAGTTTGTGAAAGTGTGTGCCAATGCCTTTGTAAGTTTGCGTGGGATTCCAAGATACGATTGATAGATAATTCCAAGGTTCCATGATAACTTATATTTATGTGGAATAAACTTGTGTCTACTCTTTTCAAATGCATATGATTATGCCAATGTATCCCAGAATGCTGTTGTACAATGATATTGCATTCCAGTCGTCGTATGAACTCCTTAACCCTGCAGCGTCATACCCAGTTACTGGAGATCCTGGAGATGCCCCAGTTAATGGACACCTGTGTCAGAAATGGTTACTATGAGGAGGCACTGGAGCTGGCCGCGCATGTGAAGAGACTAGAGAAGAAACATTCCAGTATACCTGTGATTTTGGTGAGTGGTGTGAATAATGTGATTTTAGGCTGCTAAGATATTTAGGACTTGAATTGTTTTCTGAGAATTTTAAGATAACCAGCATAGTTAAATAAAATTTATCTATAGCCAAGTAAAAAAATATTGACATTTTATCTGCATATATCAAAATTTCATTCAACATTGAATTTCAGTGTCACATGAACTGTTGGAGACACAATATAAAGTTTTAAAAAAGTTAATAGTCCTTTTACTGGAAAAAAACTTTATATTTTAACTTGTAATTGTTATTTACAAAAACAATGCTCTTCATATAATAACCCCCAGAACATAGTCAGTGAGGTAAAGAATTCCATGCAGCTGATGTTGAACCAGTTAATACAACAGCTCCGCGCCAACATCCAACTGCCTGCGTGCCTGCGTGTGATTGGCTACCTCAGGAGAATGGACGTCTTCTCTGAGGCTGAGCTCAGGATTAAGTTTTTACAGGCATGAACTTTTTTTTTAACTGTCTGAGGAGTAAAGATTGAAGTCTTCAGCAGAAAGGGATCATAATGGTTTGCATTACACAAAACTTCGACAAAAGTAGAAGTTATATTTTGCATAAATATACTTTTTGATAATGTTAGAAATGCAATTAATATTGTAATGAAATAAGTAATTTTTTTTTTATTAATTGTAATGTGCAAAAGAAGGTAGCTATATTTTCCACTAAACTTTGCCACTGTCAGGGATACACATTGATAAAAATCTACCTTATTATAAAATATACAAAGTGTTGCTCTCCTCTTGTAGGCCAGAGACACCTGGTTTCAAAGTTTGCTGAATGCTATACCAGCAGAGGATGGTAAGTGGCAACTCACAGGAGTGATCAGCTCATAGAAACATGGAGATTTTTAAAAAAATTAAAAATCATTAGTTTTCTCTATGTATTTTGAGATCCTAATTAGTGCACTTAAACTTGACTAAAATTCTATGGAATTCAGTATAATTATTATTCTCATTTTTGCAACATGTTTTGTAAATTATGTTATCAGACTCATAAATGCCAAGTAAATTTTCAGGTACATTGTCAACAGTTAGGGAAAGAAAACAAGTCTTGTCATAACTATCAAATATCTCAGTGATTGAACTATTTCCTCCAGCTTATTACCACATTACTAAGACCATAGAGACAAGTCGTGTCCACCTGTTTAATATTATCAAATATCTCAGTGATTGAACTATTTCCTTCAGCTTATTACCACATCACTAAGACCATTAAGACAAGTCGTGTCCACCTGTTTGATATTATCAAATATCTCAGTGATTGAACTATTTCCTTCAGCTTATTACCACATTACTAAGACCATAGAGACAAGTCGTGTCCACCTGTTTGATATTATCAAATATCTCAGTGATTGAACTATTTCCCTCAGCTTATTACCACATCACTAAGACCATAGAGACCAGCCGTGTCCACCTGTTTAATATTATCAAATATCTCAGTGATTGAACTCTTTTCTCCAGCTTATTACCACATCACTAAGACAATAGAGACCAGCCGTGTCCACCTGTTTAATATTATCAAATATCTCAGTGATTGAACTATTTCCTTCAGCTTATTACCACATCACTAAGACCATAGAGACCAGCCGTGTTCATCTGTTTGATATTATCACCCAGTACCGTGCCATCTTCTCTGATGATGATCCATTACTGACCACTAAAGAGGATGGACCTAACGAGGGAGCCTTGTTTCATGGCTGGGTGGTTCACAAGGTTAGTAGGTCTACCACAGAAATGAAGCAAACCCAATATTTGTTTTTCAACTTCAAGTTCATAGTCTACTAAATTTTGTGAAAAATTGAGGGATTACTGGATTTATAAACTGTGTACCGTGTTATATGCACTGTTAGTATTCACTCTTCTCCCTATTCTCAGATCTCCCAGTTTCTAGAGACACTGAAGCAGGACTTGCAGCGTGGTGTGGGAGGTCGTCTGGACTCAGTCTTGGGACAGTGTATGTACTTTGGGCTGTCATTTAGCAGAGTTGGAGCAGACTTCAGGGGTCTGCTGGCACCAGTGTTCCAGAAAGCTGCACTGGCTTCATTTCAACAGGCTGTAGATGAGGCCTCCAATAGGTAATAATCCACTATAGAATCTCCCTTCCCCCCTCCTCCAAAAGGACAAAACAATGATAAATAAACTAAAGAAAATAATTAAGTTCAATTATTTAGCTCAGATATGTCAAAAACAGACAGGATCATAGCTTTGATAGTTGATGAGTAAGCTTTGATGATATTGTTTGGTTACTGCATAAAGGTAACTTTTGGAATCTCTTGTTTACAGTCATCTTATATTTTCACCATTTCCAGGTTTGATGAGACGATGCAGACTTACTCCTTCTTGACGGTGTCTGCAGGGTTCTCCAGTGCCGCATACTCCATGGGGATACAGGTGTGTGTGTGTGTGGGGGGGGGGTGCTCCCTTATTTAGTACTCTGATCAATAAGGAATATAAATATACACTTCCAAACTTGTATAAAGGAACTTTACAATGACTGGTATCTGAATTCTTATGTAAATCTGATAAAAAGAAAAAAAATACAGTTAAGTTGAAATCTTGAACTTTGTCCAGACAGTATGGCCAGTGAGAACTGAAATTAAATGTATTTTGAAAGTAATGAGATGAAAATAAAAATTACAAAATTAAGTTGATCTCTTGAAGTTTGTACAGCCAGTGGGAGTAACTTGATGTCAGTCATTCTAGAACTATAACACTTCAAACAGTTTCTACTCTGTATAAAGATTTCACTGAAATTAATAACAATGTATATTATTCTCAGGCATCATCTTTGAACCCCCCTCTCAGTCTAATGGAGCACCAGCCTCTGGCTTTGTACTGTAATTATATCCTGACTGCCTTCAATGACCTCAGACTGTGTGTGCCTCTCTCTCTGGCCTGTGATGTTGCCACTGTCCTCCAGGCGTCACTGTGTAAGGTGGTGGAGATGATACTGGCTTTCCACAGGTGAGTGATGTGACAGTGTGTTACACATGACATTGTGTTAGGTGTGACATTCATTGTACTGGCCTCTACAGGTATATTCTATTATTGTGTTTAAAGTTGATGCTGTAATTGTGTTAGTTGCAACATTGAGCCATAGTTTTACTTGTAATATGATGAAACTTAGATAGAGATGTGGAAAACAATATAACTATATGATAGTTATGGAGAGATTTTTCCACGTGGCCACTAAAGATGTTCAATATGGCTTGGGCGACAGATTTCATAACAGATTTTTTTCTGGCCAAAGCTGACATGTGATGTGTTTTGCAGGGCAGAGGAAGGAGCACTCAACGAGAAAGAACATGAGAACTTTGTGAAGTTTTGTCAGCTGTTTGCTGAGGAGTTGGTGCCTTATTTTAACAGGTGCCTGCAGGCACTTTTCCCTCCCTCACAGCTGGGACTTACTCTGGGGGTCACCGCTGTCGATATTAATAAAATGGTAAGCATGGGGGGAGGGGAGCATCATACGTTAGGAAACAAACTTGGTGTTTAGTTCTGGTAGTTTGTAGGCATCAGTTGACTTTTTGCTCTTTATGAAAATTATCAGTGGAACATTTTGTGTGAAGACTTAGTAACTTCTCACGCAATGCAGTTTAATATGTTTGTAGTAGTCATGGTTTTTTTCTATGGGTGCCATTTGTCTTAGCTTTCTCAGTGTAAAGTGGGATGGTTCAGACGCAACTTTACGGTAAAGTCTTGAAAATTTCG